ATTTGTGGTAAGGAAGGGTCTGCTAGGAGGAGGATTCGACAGAGTCATGGATTTGGAATGCGCAGCAGTTATGCTTTGCAGGTATTTGCTGCACCCTCAAAATAACGACCGTTGAGTGAGATGTGAGATCCTTCGAGAGAAAGTTGAAAGAAAAGTTTAGATCGCATGCCAAAGGAAACGACGAGGGAGTACATTTTTTCTTGCCGTTACAATGACTATGAAATCTTGCGTTAATCCTGAATTGTTGACCCAGTGATGACGAGTCATCGTACAGATCTGACTAGAAAAAGTAGACTTTGGCTAGACACAAGAGCTCTGAATCATTCGTCGGATTTGACCTTGTCTCTGATTTCACTCAGGTGGAGTTAAACCCACTGTCTCGCTTTTTCCTTCATTTGATGACCACCGCCTTTCTATTTGCCCCCATCGCTTTCGCTGTCCTCTGACAAATGCCACTGTTTACCACCTACCGTGGAACGTCTCCATAATTTCGTGGGAAGCGCTGACGAAGTTCTAGTCAGCGCTAAGTAATTTCCATGCATCGTACGCACCTAATTACGGTCATTGCAATTATCGAGGTTCGCTGCCTTGCGATTTTTTGTACGTGACAACATGTAGCATATCAGTATGTGCTATTCTGGGTAAGACCTTCGCGATGACGTGCGACGATACCGTATGACGCATCATTATGATAACTCGGTATGCTGTATCTTAATTAATAATCATCCGTATAGTTGCATACTATCTTATAATTTATATTCTACTGGTTACTAGTTTCTTATTGGATTTTTCAATTTCTGCTTTCTCTCGTGCTGAAGACAAGTCATTTATTGGCTAGTTACAGCTGCTTTCATATCCCGCACTGAAGGATATGACCATGTCAGTGAACCATGCTGGTCCAACTGTTCGCAGTTTATCGATATGCCACCCGCTTCTTGACTGATTACCCCGGAACATAGGATGTTCAGGGCTTAAACTAATGCAGGAATGGATCCGAATTCGTAATTTCAACGTGTAGTATAGCTTCTGGGCTTATTTCTAGGAAAGCCGATTACATTACAACTCGCTGATCTCAAAAAACCAACTTTCTATCTTCCGGCAGACACAAGATAAATAACTCTGAAAATATTCACTCTACAGTACTCGCAACGGTAGAAGTGTAGGCGCTGAACTGATCAGCTAACTACACATTGGGCATCCATCGTCTGCAGATGTTTCTGCCGTATGGACAGAGCGTTGCGTTTAGGAATGAACGAACGAACTCATTTGAGTTTCGTGAGGTGCACAAGGCAGCAGGGATGGAAGTGCTCAGCAGTTCAACAGACAGCCTCGATGACACCACGAGAATTTTTTTGCGGCGGCAGTCAGGCCAAACTTGCGGGAGGCAGTTTCTTGTCCTCCTCGCTTCAGACCCGTGTTCTCCCTCTCACTCGCTTCCGTCAATCCGTCAGACAATGTTGACTCACTTGTTCGACGTTGCCACCACGCAGAGTCAACACAATTACCGGCGTGAGTATGTGACAAAGAGGTTTTTACGGGCGTTTTCTGCCACTTGTTCCGGTCCAGTTTTTCCTGCGCCGCCCCCTGGCACAGTCATTGGCATCGTTTTCGTCCAAGGTCCAAGGCGGTTAATGCGCTGACTCGTCGATGAAGTCCGAAGATGAACCCTGTCATGCCGGGCGTAAGGCACGAACCCGCCAACCAACGACGGACCATGGCGGTGGTGGTCCCCGGTGGCGCCTCGGTTCCGGTTCCTCGACTCGATTCCTGCGCAAACATGTGTCGATCGTGTATGGATTTGTTGCCACTGGTGGTTGACACTGTCAACACTGGGCCCCGACGATTGTGTCGCAGCCACCTCGACAAACATTGTAAACACGGTTTCTCTCGCACTGCTACTGCTGGATGCCGGGAATCGTATGATTGTGCTTAGAGCCGACCCCTGGCCCGGCCCCGTGAAGTTCCGTGTATATTTACCCTCCTCGTTGGAGGGTCGAAAATTCGCTGCAGTACCTCCGTCTCTGCACGTCTGGATTTACGAGTATGATCTTCAGGTCAGAAATGGCTGCGGTGTGCATGTAAACAATGCTGCTTCCAATCATCTGGCCATTAAAGCCCGATGAAATGATCGTGTCTGACCAGGACGTCAGACCATAGATGACTACTGCTGTTCGCTGTACATGTCCCCTCTCAGCCGAGTTGTCATCGAGGCGAGCGACTGTCCAGCAAGCGTTGTTTTCCATCGCCTAACTTCCTTAAAACGTGTTCGTGGTACAACCTATACACAGACAGGGGCGTAAACGACTGTGGTCAATTTGTAGGTTGCATCATTGACCCCCTGACGCTACTGCTTTTAGTTGCATAAGACGTTTTCAGAGATGCTCTGCCAGTTGCGTCGATCGTCGTTGAATACACAGTGCGCGCATGGGTCATTCCTTTATGCGAAGGACTGTGACCACAGATGGACGACCATTGTCAACCGTAGTCGTTTGTGGCGGTGAATCAGAGAACCACAGCAAATGGCCGAACATCGTCGTCCACCTTCCCAGGGTTACAAAATAATTGAAAGAACACGATGGTCGACAGGTCAGACACAATGGACCCCCTTGACCGACATTGTTCGTCGACGGTCACCACCGAATTCAGGTGTCTTAATTGCTCGATGTTTCCTCGCTGGATACCATTCACGCGACCTGTACTATTATGCATGTAAAACGATCGAACTGTGTGTCTTATGTGGGCCACGGCACCATTCCCGCATGACCCGCGTCCGACCAGCCGAGACATGCCTTTTCTGACCGTTCTCTGTGTGTTGTCCAGCGAACAGCTCTGAGTGAATGGGGCAAATCAAAGCAGATATGATTTCATCATTAGCTGCTCGGTTCCATCTGATCTTATTAGCCACGAAATGAAAATTAACGATTTCTTCTTAACGTTGTTACCGACTGACCACTGACCACTGAAGTATTGTGGTCAGCGATGTCCTGACAGTCCACTGGTCTTCTGCTGGTCGCCACCTCATCCACGACGTAATTGGGCACCCGCAGACAGGAGCAGAATATGATTAATTATCTGGTCGATAATGGTTTGCTTCTAATTACGTACTGCTTCTACAACCATGTTGTTTTCTGCTCGTGTCGTGTTTCTTGACAGCGGTGAAGACTGCTGAGGAAAAGCTCTTGTTTCAAAACAACTGATGAACCTCTAAGTGAGTGCCAGGACCGGTGACTCTAACCTGATCCTCGAGAAGCTTGTTTGCGTGCGCCCGCGCCAGGAACACGCGTCTCTTGCGCACATAGCTAGACAGCTGACCTGTAGATTTCCGTCGATCGACTGGTCACGTCTGAATGCATCGCAGACAAGCCTTTCGCATGATTGTTCTCCCTCAAATCTTACGACTTCCAATTTTTCAGCTGATCGAGCGCTAGGGCGCATCCGGTACGGACTGGACTTGCCTGAACGTGACATGCGCATCGACAGCCTCATGACTTTCATGGCTGTTTCCTCTTTGCATACATACCATGAACCGAACCCCGGTTATGAAGTTACCATCGAGCCAGTTTCGTAGAAAACCACCTTTCCCAGGTTAATAAGTGCTAAAAGAATGAGTGATCGATATGTATCTGGTGACTTGGCGAGTTCCGTACGCACATTGCAGGAGGAAACGAAACATGATGCGTCTGAGGTAACGATTTTGCCTCATTGAGCAGATCGAGCGATTGGGACCAGTGCCGACGGTCCGGAAGCTTGGCATTCGAGTCTCTTCGTCAGACTGATCCATGGCAAGGACCGGTGCTATCGACGATTACGGGGATACCGTAAATTCGATTCGAACACGTTTATGAACGAAACACCGGACAGTCTGTGTAAAATTTTCTGACACACCTAGAAAATCGTTAACGTTTGGAATGTCAGGCATGTAATCCAATAACTTCTGCTTTTGTCCGCTGCAGTTTCGTTTCTGATCAACTTTGTGTATAATCACCACATGGACGCCTTGCCAGTTCAACCATAACTCGTCGGTAGATGTGGTCCCGACCGTTCGCTTCGGCCAAGTAAGCCAGGTACAGACAACAGCTCAGAACAACACATGCCTTGTGTACTGTGTGGTTTTTGTTGTTGGTAAAGGTTGCTCTGTTCCAGGGTACTGTACCCTTGTAGCGAGGTAAGTTTTTTGCTTCGGTTAAGCCACTTCATTTTTCTTCTACGGTGTTGTCAGTGAAATCCGCTCACTTGATGCGCAACAACTTCGTGAGCGTTTATGTGTGGAAGAGTCGAAATGACTGCTGCATTCTGACGTCCATTACCGATTCATGGTGGCAACGTAATCGAATTGACAAGTAGGAACGCATCGCGAAAGAAAGCGCAGATCGATTGATTTCCAGCTTAGGAAAGTAATAGTGTCAATGGCGGTAGTGAGAGTCGAGTCTACTCGACCACCACAAGATTTCTGGTTGATGTTGTAGTCACGTCGTCCAACACTAACCAGCCGGAACAGCAGCAGAGTTATACCAAAATTGGTCATATTTGACGCACTTGACAAACTACCTCAAACTACCGTATCTCAGAGCTGTGTCCTTCACTTCAAGGCAACCAATGTTTCTCGGTGATGCTTCTAAGTTTCGTGTTATTGTCAGATGCCGGTGGACGGATCCCACCAATCAGTGTTGTTTCGAACACAATTCCGTTCTCGTTTTGGACCGTTTTTCAAGTCAGGAGAGGGACCGAAGAACCTGAGTGAAAATTGTTGGACCTCTGCAATTGGAATCCTGTGACTGATTGAACTGAGGTCGGCTTGATCACATGACCGTACCTCGGCTTTCGGCATGCTCCTGCTGGCATGGTC